TCAAAAGGAAATAATATAATACAATATTTATATTTATAAACCAATATAAATATAATATTTATCATCAGAGTTTCATACATCAATAATTTACTGAGAAGAAAGAATGGAGAAAATGGGAATAATGATGAAGTCGGGGAGGAAACTACATTTGTGAGCTTTAGTTCAATAAATTTCTATTATACATTCTTAATGACTATTGCAATGCCTACCTCAAAGTGGTATGTTTAGAGGTAAAAGAGGAAAGAAGAAAGGAAGAATGAATGAACAGAAAGAGAAATTGGGTGTGGGGGGAGAGAAAAGAGTAAGACTGAATTGCATGCCTTAACTTCAAAGAGGTTATCAGTGGACATGTATAGTAAATAATGAATATGAAAACTTCTTGCAGGCAGTCTTCGGCATTGAACCATTGGTTTAGCGACAATTCAAAGATGCAATGGCATTGTAAAAAGAGATAGCTGTCACAGCATCCCCACAGTCACATGATCAAATTTTGGTTGCAGTGTCCCAGGGTCATGTGACCGCCATTTGCCACCATCCCAGCTAGCTTTTGACAAGCAAAGTCAATGAGGGAAGCTGGGTTCACTAACAACTGCAGTGATTTGCTGAACAATAATGGCAATAAAGGTCACAAAATCAGGTGTGACTTAACGACTTTGCTTACCAACAGAAATTCTGGTCCCAATTGTGATTGTAAGTTGAGGACTACCTGTATAATAGGGGGGATTTAAATGCTGGCATTTAAGGAAAAGGAGGGTCATTCCATTGTTAATTTGTGAGTTCAAAATGGTTTGACTTTATTTTTTATTTCCTATAATTGCATCAATTCACCAGTATAAAGTATCGGACAGAATCGAATAGTTTTATGTAAAAACCATAGGGCTTCTCCCCATCTCCCAGCATTAGAAGTGAAACAGTAAAGCTTAGAGAGCTAGAAACATTAAAAATGAAAACCAATACTTATGATTTTACCAAGCATGCATGTTCCCATAAGGTTCTGCCTTGCCCATTTGAGAATCTAACTAAGCTCTGCTGGTAAAACGATACACTGATTCTCTACAATCTAATTAAGACTGGTTTCGATTGTTTGAGTTCATTTCTCTTCAGTGCCATCTACAATGGAGGAGAATCTGGAAATGTTTGTTTCTGAGTGATTTATTTGGCCATGTTTACCTCTCAAAAGTTTGGCTACAAATATTTAAACAACAACAACAAAAAAAAACCTGCTGAGGACAGAATTTGAGCTCAGATGTCTGTATATTTTTAAGAAATAAATGGTGCGTCTTTCCAATTCCTTCCATGCTGACGAGCAATCATGCTTTCAAATTTGGGAGAGGAGGACACTTTTTAAGGCAATAATCCATGCAATTCGTCAGTACAGATCAGGTTTTTTGCATCTTGGTTCCTTTACCATAATTTAATAAAGGTGAACTAGAAGGCCATTTCTCTTCCCTTCACCTTAAGGAAGTGTCCTATATACATCATGACTTGTAGTATAATGTGGATTACATCATTTTGACAAAAACACCAGATAACAGGGTAACAGAGTTGGAAGGGACCTTGGAAGTCTCTGGTCCAACCTCCTACTCAAGCAGGAAACCCTGTACCATTTCAGACAAATGGTTTCCAATCTTTTCTTAAGAACCTCTACTGTTGCAGCACCCACAACTTCTGGAGGCAACTCATTCCACTGATTCATTGTTCTAATTGTTCCTAATGGCAGGAAATTTCTTCTTAGTTCTAGGTTGGTTTTCTCCTTGATTAGTGTTGTGGCTCCGTTACCTGAGCCTGTGTCATCGGCAGGAGAGGACTCTGAGAGTGAAGGAGAAGAGTTGGCAAGGCCTCCCTCTCCAGGACCCTCCTCTTTGGCAATGCCGAAGGGCAAGAGATAGGGCCGGGGCCAAGCACATCCACGCAGCCACAGATGGACAGTGATGAGGGTAATGAGTCTTGGCTCGATCTACGCCAGTGTCACAGAGATAAGTGCGCGCAACAGAAGAAAAGGCATGCCCGAGATTAGGCTGAGTCACTGGACCACACCCCACAGGATATAAAAGGGAGCGTGGTGGCCAGTCAAATCTTGTGATGAACAAAGCTGAAAGCTTCCACGCCATTCTGCATTGCCAGACTTTTGCTATAGACTTTGCTGGATTATCTCTGGACTTGATTAACTCCGTAATTATTGAGCTGTTTCTTTTGATGTATCAGAAGTGGGGAGAAGTTATCTCTCCTCTTCGTAAATAATAAACTCTTGGCAGGCAGCCACTAGGTTGTTGCCAAGTTCCGTTATCATAAGGAAAAGGATTTTGCCGGCTGGTTTGGTCTCTTGAACGTCTGTTGGTATGTGTGCGTGTGGTTGGGGACAGAACAATTAGTTTCCATCCATCGCTTCTCGTCCTGTCTTACAGTGTTTTGGAGAAAAGGTTAACTAACCCCCTCTTCTTTGTGGCAGCCCCTGAGATATTGGAACACTGCTATCATGTCACCCTTTCTTTTCATTAAAGTAAACATATCCAATTCCTGCAACCGTTCTTCATATGTCATAGCATTCAGTCCTCTAATCATCTTTGTTGCTCTTCTCTGCACTCTTTCTAGAGTCTCAACATCTTTTAATTTATGGCAACCACAACTGGATGCAATATTCCAAGTGTGGTTTTATCAAGGCATTATAAAGTGGTATTAACACTTCACATGATCTTGATTTTATCCCTCTATTAATGCAGCCTAGGACTGTGTTGTCTTTTTTGGCAGCTGCAGCACACTGTTAGCTATTATTTAAGTGATTGTCCACTAGGAGACCAGATCCTTAAATATCTTTGTGTCCTATGTTCTAAACTGAATTATCTGGAATTATTTCTACTAGAAATGCCAAGGATTGAAATTGGATATATATTTTTTGCATATACTCTTAGAAAATTCACTGTTGATTGAAAAACCCTGGAAATCAGTTTAACAGATGTTGCTCATAGTTTTAATATTTAACACAAACAAGAAAAATGTTCAATTAAATTACCCAATGGGCTATAGCTTGTTCTAGCACCAACATCTCATTAAAAATCTGTCCATGCAAAAATGCCTATGAGTGAGGTGTGGTAACAGAGAGATATCAACTATTTTGTTTTGGGTCTGCAGGGAAGAAAATAAATAGAAATAATATTAGTTGTTTTGAAAAGCAAAGAGTAAAATAACAAGAACTGATATGATAGAATGTAACATGCTGCAAAGCAACCACCTAAGCTGGAAACCTTAAAATGTCCAAAATCTTATCTTTAAACACTTATTTGGGAACTGTAAATATGTTTATTCATTGCATAAGCTTGCATGGTGATAATGTTGAAACCATTCAAGGCTTTGCTATACTATAGCAATTAGCTCACAATTAGTTGAATATGAAGAGTGGTGTACCTAAAAACATAGACTCTTACTATCTGAAAATCATATTTCCATATTAATTAAGAAAACTGGGATTAATCTTGAATAACACTAGATGATAAAATTTGTAAGGCCAGGTTAAAATTAGGGCCCACTGGAATAGTGAGTAGTCCACTTTCTCAACATTCAGTTATTCATAATATTACTTTAGCATTTGTAATAAAGTAAAATATAATATTACATATAAAGATAGAATGTGATTTTCTTATTTGCTATTACAAAATATGATGAAAAGCAGATTTGAAGATCCACAGCTATAGTTTATGGCAATATATTTGTATGCAATTTTTATGCTGAAATTTGAAATGGCCACAAATGCTATAAAAATTAGTTGTTCAATAAAAGGGAAGCAAGATAATATATCTGATAATATATAAATTCTGCTGGGGTTAAATTTGTTTTGTTTTGTGTTCCAATAGATGCTTAATCAGGTAAAAACCAGGAAGAACTCAATATGTCTCATATTGATCTTTATATAAATCCACAAAGATCATTAGAACAAGAAGGGTTATATTTACCTGAATTAATTGAATAATTAAATAATTGACTTTTCAGAAAGCAAAAGAAAAAAAAACACTGCTTTAAACATTTAAATTGTACTGCTCTAAGCATTTGCTCTATTCTACACATACACAGAATTCTTAAATTAAGAGTAAGGAGAATGAACCTTAAGTTCAACTAGTTTGTCTTTCATTCAAACATAGTGGCTCTGTTCTCACAACAAGCTTAATTGGGTCAATTGTATGTTTAGTGTGAGAACTTCAAAATAGCATCACTAGATCAGGCTTGTCAAACTGATGGCCCACGAGCTGAATGGGTCACACACGGGACATGCCCACCCTAGCTCTGCAAAGGCAAAAAACGTTGTGATATGTCACAATATGTCACGTGATACAATCAAGTTTGACACCTGTGACTTAGATCAATGAAATTCCAACTTGAATTTAATTCAGAATATTTCCTGCTAGATCTGGGGTTAAATTCACTGTATCTAGTCAATAAACTCTTTTCTTCCCATCCAATCTGGATGGCCCAATCTTTCTTAATGGGCACCAGGGCCTGGTGGCTCAGCAGACTGATAGCATTGTGATTAACACCAGCTGTCTGCAATTACTGTAAGTTCGAATCTCACCAGGCTCAAGGTTGACTCAGCCTTCCATCCTTTCTAAGGTAGGTAAATTGAGGATCCAGTTTGTGGGGGCAATAAACTGACTTTGTATAAATATACAAAAGTATGAAGGCCATTGCTTAATGCATTGTAAGCCGCCCTGAGTCTCCAGAGAAGGGTGGCATATAAATAAAATTAAAATAATAATAATAAAATAAAATATCTGCTGGGGGGGTCTATTAAAAAAGACTGAGCTTGCTTTCTGTCTTTAAGAGCATGTTTCTTCATTTCTCCCTTTTGGGGAAATATAATATTCTGCCTTTTTAATATTTCCCAAAATATTTCATTCTTTGGGTGGGGGGCTTGGCTTTCCACAATACATTTACTCATCAGCTTCATATTGCAAACCAAAGAATCTATGGTTCAATAGTTAATGAGTCTGTTTTGTTCCCAATGTTTCCAGGTTGGTGGTTTGATGCCTGTGGTCCTTCCAATCTCAATGGGATGTTTTATTCAGCTGGACAACACCATGGAAAAATAAATGGGATCAAATGGCATTACTTCAAAGGTCCAAGTTATTCATTACGTTCCACAACTATGATGATCCGTCCCTTGGACTTTTAAAGAGGCAATAAGATAGTGGGCATCTGAAGGACACCTTATGTCATCTTTAGGAGCAGAAGGTGGAAACTCCCTGAAAATACTGAATTCCAACATCTTAGCTGTCTTCAGATCTTATTTCACTGGCTGCAGTAAACAAACACAAGTTGCTGTCCAACCCGGGGACAGGTTAAACTGTGGATTATGAATAATATAAAATAGCTTTTGTGGCTATTCAGTGGACAACTTTAAGGTTCGGTTGCCACAAATAAACTGGTATCTTTTAACCAAAGCCTCTTTTTGTTTTGCTTTGATCAAGAGGTTTTTTTTTTTTTAAATATAGGACATGCAAACCAAGTGCCCTTTTGGAAAACAGAAATAGAATCTAATGGATGGCAGAAGATGTTTGTCTGTCAGGAAAATGGTATCGACTCAATGCACAACTGCTATTTATTTGTAGCCCCTTAAAATGCAACTATGGCCTTACAACCTGGCATCAGAAAATGTGATTGAGATGGAAAACTTATCTTTAATACCAGAACAATATGGTATATATGAGTTATTTCTCATTAAACCTATTTCAGATATTCAGATGGAATATCCTTCAAAGAAACAACGAATCGAGTTGGACAGAAAAATAAGAGCAATATGGCGAGAATGGTCAATTGACTTGCATGGCTAAGCTAGGATTTGGCAATTCAGATAATTGGATTCTTCTAAATAATTCAACTATGTTTGACAGCATGGAAAAGGAATTATGGATTTTTCTTTCTGACTGCTACAGCTTTACTTTGCTTTATATGACATTTCAGTATGAATGTCGACCGAAAAACAAAGAAAAAGAAAAAGCACAGCTCTTTTTTAAAAATGCAAGCTCAAAGTTATTTGTACATAGATTTATGACATGGATACACAAATACAGAAAATATGCAAATATCATAACCATGTATTAACTGGATTTACTTTATCAGTCTTGCTGGTTTGCATGTAAATGTTACTAGTAAATTGCTAAGACTTTCACATCTGTTATTCAACCTTCATTTGACAGAGTTCAGCAGAAAACTATGAGTTATTTCCTATCCTTTATTTACACCTTTGGACAGCGGGTTGGAAATTAAGAAATACAAGAGAAGAAAGAGATCACAGATATGGATTGCAAATGCCGTGAATGGAAAGCAATTATAATTGAGTGGATTAATTTAAATGGGAAAACAAAATATTATTTAAAATGAGTAGGACTAACATGTAGTTCCCTAGATCATTATCTAGATGGTACACATAATCCTGAATTCAGAGATTTCTAAAATTGTGGGTTATTGTGTTTTCTACTTGTTTCCAATACATCTATATCCAATGTATATAGATTCTATATACTCTAACACTCTAATGAGTGTTGAAACCTAGTTCAGATATTTTGCCAAGGTGACAAGGTCTTTCATTGATATTTCATCTAACATTAGACACAACACCATATTAGAGGAACATTGGCAGTTGAATCAAACCATTGACTCATCCTATTTTTATGGTTTCAGAAAAGCATTTTGCAGCTAGGGTCCATCATTTCTATGTATGCTGATCATTTACATATAAACATGATATTACTTATTTTTATCTGTATCCCATTTTTCCCTTGGGAAGATTATATTAATTTGTTGATTCAGCAATATATACATATGTGCCTTTAAATATTCCCTCAAGATAAAGAGGCTTATGATAAGCAAAATACAGGATGATAATTTAGAACTTTTATGCATTTGGTCTTTTCACTGAAATTAAATGGGAAATTTTGCACCCGGAATTCTTAAGGGAATACAGGGAAATAGTGAACATTCATATACATACCACTTGGCCACTGTGTAATAAATAAGAGCAGAACTGTCAAAGTTCACCCATGAGAAATTAAAAAAAAATCTGTGAAAAAGAATTCTGAACCACCAAAGCAAAGGAGAACTGGTTTAAAAAAATACAGGAGTTTATTTATTAATTATGCAGATAATTAATTCATGCAGATTCATGTGAAATGGAGAGACACTATGGTTCAGTGGCAGACTATATTGACACGTTCTAAATGTTGTCCTTGTATCTCAAGAGCCGTGGTGGCGCAGTGGTTTGAGTGCAGTATTGCAGGCTAATTCTGCCCACTGTCAGCAGTTCAGTCCTGACTGGTTAAAGGTTGACTCAGACTTCCATCCTTCCAAGATCTGTAAAATGAAGACCCAGATTGTTGGCAGCAATATGCTGACTCTGTAAACCACTTAGAGAGGTCTGTAAAGCTCTATAAAGTGGTATATAAATCTAAGTGCAATTGCTATTGCTATATCCAAAAATTTATAAAACAATTTAAATGATACAAGTGCCTACCTGAGCTACCCTATTATCACAGTTAATAATCCTGGACTAGATACAGAAACTGTATGATCTGATAATTCATCTTTTTATGCTCCTATCTTTCTGAGATATAGAATGAGCTTCTCATTTTTCTCAAGCCAGTAATTATTCTCTTTCTGTTATTATGTACATGACTGATGGCTCTGAAATTAAAACATCATTGGGTTTAACCAATGCCTGAGCTTTTTTTAATTATTTTTAATTAATAATTTCTGTTGTATCTAATACAATGGTCTCAGCTTCCTCTTAATCCAGGGAAATAATATTTCTTCCATGTATGGGAACAAAACAAGCATTCGTTTTAAAAACAAAACATGAAAAAACAAGGATGTACCACGGTGTTCTTTGTAATTGTGACAGTTTTCAAGTTAAGTTGTGTATTTATGTATTTGTTTGTATTTACAGTACATATTCCTGCCTAAGGGGTTAATTTGATGTTTTCTTCTGGTTAACTTTCCTAACTGTTCTTTATTCAGTGGTCCCTGCCAACTGTTGCTTTTTCTTTTATTTCAGCTATCTTCATTTATGTCCAAAGATTGTGGTGCTTCTTGTGAGTGGCATTTTTCACCAAATCCAGACTGCTACTGTGCGGACTCCATGGCAAAGGGGGAGGATTTTTTAAAAAATCAAAGCTACTAGCATATTTACTGTTTATTTATCTCTGTTTGAAGAAATGGGGGACATGATTTCTTATCCTTTATAATAAAATGTTTAAAACACGCTAGATGGTTCCATATTTTGACTTGTTTGGGAAATGCATTCTTGTGGCAGACCTGCCCTTGAAATTCAACATTTTAAAAAAGAAAGCTGAAGAATATTTCAAATCACAGGCAGAGTGTGCATGAAAGGCTGTACTCTTTACAAGAGGGTGCAATGGCTCAGTGGTTAGAGATGGTGAGCTTGTCAGTGGAAAGCTGACAGCCCAGGTTCGAGACCCGAGTGCTGCGTAACAGGGTAAGCTCCCATCCTTGCCCAGCTCCTGTCCACCTAGCAGTTCAAAAGCATGCAAATCAGTGGTGGTATTCAGCTGGTTCTATCTGGCTAGGGCGAACTGGTAGCAGTGGCTGCGAGAGGCTCCGCCCACCCACCCAGATATCATCACATCCCATTTTTTACACTCTGTGCATGTGCAGAAGGACCTGCGCCAGGTAAGTGGGTTCTACTTACCTCCGTTACTGGTTCGCAACGGGAGTGCGGGAAGCTTCTGTGCATGCATAGATCGTTCATGATGATGTCCGGGCGGGTGGGTAGAGCCTCCCGCCACCATTACTACCAAACCAGGAGCAACCTACCACTGACCTGCGTGCTCACATTTGCGAACCGGTAGCGAAGGTAAGTGAATACCACCCCTGATGCAAATGAGAGCAGATAAATAGTTACCACTTATGTAGGAAGGTAACAGTGTTCTGTGAGCCTCACTATATAGTCAGGCTGGCCACATGACCATGGAATAAAAATCTTCAGACAATGCTGGCTCCTTCAGCTAAGAAATGAAGATGAGTACTGCCCCCTATTGTTGGAAACAACCAGGCAGGGGAAACCTTTAAAAACTTTACACAAAAGAAAGTGTTTTCTTTTTCAATAATATACCTTTTCTCCTTTTTCTTTTTTTTTTCTTTTGATGTTCCAAATGCTGATCTAAGCCAACCAATTATTATACGATTTGGATTTTTATTTCTTTGTTAATTATGCCTGTTCCTCTGAGTCATTTCCTTTTTTTGTCATCCTTAATTACTTTTCACTCTTTAATCATTCATTCATGAAAGTTGGCACTCTCAAATGATTTTAATTCTTTTACCCCGAGCCAGATATTGTTTCCCATAGGTATTAGGGAGAGAACGTATTTTAACCATTGCTTTGAAATAGATTCATCCACATTTTCCAAGAAACTGAAATGCAATTGGACTTCTTCAGTGAGCACATTGATGCCAGACTAACTTGTTTTATAAAACCAGAACAAAAGCCAGAGGCTGATGAAACAGTATGGTTTGCCTCCTAACAAATAGTGCTAGATTGCCAGGGGGGTGGGTGGGGTGTTATCTCATTAGAGTGAATTTTGTGGTGGAATTTTGTGATGGTGGAATTTATGATATATAAATGGAGATGGATTAATTAGAGCAAATCACTATTATTCCTCCTCCTCCTCCTCCTCCTCCTCCTCCTCCTCCTCCTCCTCCTCCTCCTCCTCCTCCTCCTCCTCCTCAAATTCCCAGCTTTCATGCTAGGGTACTAAAGGGAATGGCCAAGATTTATATCCAGCATAATAACATGAATTGCAAACATTATACCTATCCTACAATTTGGATACGCAGTAGCAGCAGTTTATAACCTAAGCTGAAACCTTGCAGTAACACCGTAATATCTCAAAAAACAAGATTGTGCAGCCAACATCTGATGGCAAATTTAAAATTTAATGTAGCGATGAAATGGTGCAATTGTATAATACAACTACACAACAATCCAAAGATAAAAAAAACAATCAGAATAGTAAAAGTGAGAAATACACCATGATTTTTTTTTTTGGAACAAGAGGAATAGAAAATGATAGAATTACAGAGGTGGACAAAGATCCATCCAGTTTTCAAACCTTTGCAATGTGCCAGAAAACCAATCAAATCATCTATGGGAAGAAACCTGTCTAGCTTTTCTTGAAAATTTACAGGTAATCCAAACCTTCATTTCAGTTTCAGTGTTGTACAGATCTTACCATCTTGGAATCTTGGAAGCGGTTCAGTGGTGGGTTGCTCCCGGTTCGCACCGGTTCACAAGAACTGGTAGTAAAAATTTGTAGTACTTCCGAGAACCGGTAATAACATTGGCTGGCCACGCCCCTGAACCGGTCCCGGCCCAGTCGCCCCTCGCTTACCTCATCAGAGGCAACCTCTTAAGGTTGTAGAAAAAATGCTTTTAAAAGGAAAAAAAAGTTGGCCACGCCCACCCAGACACATTAGCCACACCAAGCCACACCCACAAAATAAGCCACGCCCACAGAACCGGTAGTAAAATTTTAGAACCCACCCCTGAAGCGGTTGTTACACTGGTTGAAACCCACCACTGATTGAGGGGGATAAGGTGAAGCTACCAAAATAGCAGTCACCTTGTAAGCCCCACCAAGACACCTAAATCTCTGAAAGCAGGAAGAGGGACAAAAATTCCTTCCAGTTGGAGCTATTTCACAGTACCATTGAAACAAATACTAGCTTCACTGCATTTTGATAATACCAACCAGAAATATAATATTCAGCTGTCCAAAACTGCCAGTGTTGTGGGATTACGCAAAACTAGATCAATTTTAAAATGAGAAGCATCCTCGTATGGAAGCAGTCACACATTTTGAAAGCTCTCAAATGGTAATCCTGAGCCATTTCTCCCAAAGCCAGACTAGGATGATGAATTTAAATCAGACTTTCTTCTTAAAGCCATAGCAGATATCTCTAGAGAAGAGTGAAACTGTCCCAGAATTTTCTTTTTTTAGTTTATTGCCACCGAAGCTAAACTATTTAATCATGAGACAATCTACATTTCATTAATTGGCCTCTTGAAACTTTCTAACAGCTGATCTTTAAAGCTGCAATTCAACCTTGAATGTGAAAGCCTCTAGTAATTTTATCAGCAGGGAATCTATGTTGGTGTACAAAATGGGAATGAAAGGACTTAAATTCTTATTAAGAGTTATCGAACACTGAAATGCCAACGTTGAAATATTGATTGGTATCAAACTCTAAAATGCATAACACAACCTAGAAGAACAGTTACATCCTTAAAGATGTTAGTGGTTGTTGTTGTTAGTTGTGAAGTCATGTCTGACCCATCACGATGGACAACTTTCCTCCAGGCCTTCCTGTCCTCTACCATCCTCCAGAGACCATTTAAGCTCATGCCAACTGCTTCAGTGACTCCATCCAGCCACCTCGTTCTCTGTCGTCCCGTTCTTCTTTTGCCTTCAATCTTTGCCAGCATTAGGCTCTTCTCCAGTGAGTCCTTCCTTCTCATTAGGTGGTCAAAGTATTTGAGTTTCATCTTCAGGATCTGGCCTTCTAAAGAGCAGTCAGGGTTGATCTCCTCTAGGACTGACTGGTTTGATCGCCTTGCAGTCCCAGGGACTCGCAGGAGTCTTCTCCAGCACCAGAGTTCATGTTAGTGGTGGTACTATACATTAGTGGTGATACTTCAAGAAAGTATCTTGGGTAAGAAACTCATCATTTAGAGAAGTTAACTTTAAGAAATATTTATTCTTCCATATTTAGATATCAATTCATTCTCCAGAAAGCCTTTCATGCTTAAATTTAGAAGCAGTGTCTTCTCTGAAAGAAATTATAAATCTCTGGTTTCTTTACATTCAGAACTATCACTGAACAGTTAGTTTATTTTCTTTGGGGAAATGGAACATAACTTCATGATGTATATTTTCTTTGCTTCTTTCAACCTTTAAAAGATATTGGCTTCAGTTCTTGACTCATGTCCCCTATATATTACTGTATGTTTCCTGTTCTGGGAATGTGATTCTTATAGCCAAACAAATCTTGATTTTCTCAAAACTGGAATAGAAATTTCTTCCAATGCTTTAAGAAAACAACTAAACATCATTTCAATTGACTTAAAGCTTCTTTGTTTCCTAGAAGAGGAAAAAAAATACTAAAATCAGAACAGGATACTGGTGCAAACTGTCAAAAGCAGATTTTCCTAATCTAGAAGTGTGGGAATCAGAACTCTGATCATGCTGGTCCTGAGTATTGTGATCAACACATTTGGAGGATTCAACAAATTTAACAAATTTGTTAAACCTGGTTTAGAGGCTTATAATTACAGTCACTGGTTAGTATACAGATAATCATTCAATTACAACTGTATTGGCACCTGTCCATCACAGTTGTAACTCATGGAGGTCATAAATAGAATCGTGGTGGGTGATTCTATGGATGACCAACCAAAGTTTACATTTTTTTACAATGATCATTAAGCAACACCACAGTTAAGTGAACCAATGGTTTGCTATGGACCAGTTTTGCCAAAAATTGAAAGTAAATACTGGTTTTCAGCAAAAACCATTAAAAACATGGTCATGTGACCATGGAACCCTGTGAATGGCCATAAATACGGTTCAGTTGCTAAGCCTCTGTAGTGCAGTCACATGACCGTGGTGGGGGGGCATCAAATTCATGCACAGTTGCTCTAAATCAACTTTAGAGATCTATACATAAGAATGAACTACTATTTGCACCATGTTTGTGGATGCATTGTACATCTGCATTATATCAATGCTTATCAGAGTTACTTTGACCTCGTGAATTAGGAAAGAAAATAATTGTGCCTAGGTGCTCATGATAATGTGCTCCATAAATAAGTCCTCTTGAAATTAAGGCAATTGAATATCATGAATAGTGTAAAAGAAAGAAAGAAAACTCAAGAAAGCTGGATAGTTATTTCTGTAAATCAGATACATTCCCATCATGAAGAAACCAGAAGATAAAGTTGGATATGTCTAGTTTAATGAAAAGAAGGACTAGAAGCGACATGATAGCAATGTTCCAATATCTAAGGAGCTGCCACAAAAAAGAGGAAGTCAATATATCCTCCAAAGCATCACAAGGCAGGACAAGAAGCAATGGGTGGAAACTACTCAAGGAGAGAAGCAACCTAGAAAAAAGGAGAAATTTCCTGACAGTTAGAACAATTAATCAATGGAACAACTTGCCTCCAGAAGCTGTGGCTGCTCTAATAC